AGAAAATTTTTGGTCTTTTGGTGTGATTATTGATTGAGTTTGTGAGAAGTTTGAAGGGTTAAAGAAGGGTTCGGTGGGGGTTAGGGGAAGAAGAGATTTTTGAGGTCTATGGAGAGAGTTTTCCTTTTTCTGCAAAAAATCGTGCCGCTTTTTCTGAGAGTGAAAAAAGGTATTCTTATAGGAGAATTTAAAGGGTATTATAGGGAATGTGAGAGTCGTACGAGGAAAGGGAAGGGAAATTAATTTGGTTTGTCATTTTGTCGCTGTGTCAATTTTAATTTGCAGGTTTTTCTTTCTGGTGCAAATTTTGCGTAGGAGTGGCTTGCAGGAAATTGTTTGGTGGTCTGTATGGGGTCGGCTTGAAAATGGCAGGGAATTTGGCTGTTACGTGAGGCTGGAGTGGTACGAATATGGTGTTAAAATTGTACGTCTGCAGAACCTGTGCGTGAATCACGACCCTTTGTGTGTTGCGTATTGGGTTGATTTGGTGACATTTTTGCATTATAGTGAGCTGTGAACTAGATGGTTCAAGGGTACGGTTTACGTTCTTCGCATAATTTTTGTGTGGGGTATAGCAAATTGGGACATGGTTTATAGAATGATTCAGGTGTGGCTGTGCATATGCTTTTTGGAATGCATGACAATTATTTTGTTGCAATTTGGTTTTGATGAGAAATGTAATTTTGTGGTTTATTCACTGACTTTATAACATGGTAGCAAGACTCGTAGCGTTTTTTTTAACAGACTTTATTGTAAATGATTTTTCTTCTTGTATGTATTGAAAACAAAGGTAATAAAAGTGATGGGGTTTTTTTGATGGCACTCTGTCGCTACTCGAAAAATGCATCGTGCAACGACGGGGAGGCGAAAAGAAAGGACAGAAGAGTCGCCACCGAACTTTATTTATCCCATGAGGGGAAAGGAAAATATCGTGAAAACCTTAAGAAAGAAATGGATAAGATGGTCTCGCGACCAAGAACGGGTTCGGAAGCCGGTTATGCGAAGGGAAGGTATTAACACCCCTCGCATCCATCGTACTCGATGGGAACCTTTTGTTTGTCGATGTGTGAATTTATTTGCTTAAATATTATGCTATGAAAAGGGTTTTCCAAAGGGTAAAGAAAGAGGGTTAAAAATAAAGGAAAGAGAGGGTAACGGGGAAGAAAGGTGAAAGAACAGACTCGGTAGGACTTCGCGGTCCTAGGCCTACGTATTCTCATAAGATATGAGAAAGTCAGAGTCGACGTAGTTCGGGGAACTACAGATATGGGGGGATGTGCTCGGCAAGGATTGTGGCCCTTGTGCCTACGTATCTTTACTTGAACGAAGTAAAGAATCAGAGCAGCCGTAGTTCGGCCTACGGTATGCGGGGAAGCGGGGTGTACTGGTAGACGATGCTATCGTACGCATTCTAGCAGTTTAGGTGTATTGTTGCTCGCTCGTTGGAGACTTAGGCATTACCTGTTTGCGGTAGAACGGACGTAGCATGCCTTTCTGGGAAAGGGTGAAAAAGAGAAAAGGGTGCTCGATAGGATATCGCAATCCTATGCCTACATATTCTCAATATGCATGAGAAATCAGAGCAACGTAGTTCGTGCCTACGATGCGGATAACCGGTGCGTTTGTGTGGATGATGTTATCGTGCGCGTTCTAGCATTTTAGGTGTTTTGCTGCTCGCTCGTTTGGAGACTTATGCGTACCTGTTTGCGGTAGAACGGACGTAACATATCCTTTTAAAAGATTGATTAGTTTTCGCCGCGCGGGGCAAGAAGTCACGTTTGATTGATTGGATTGTTTTTTAGGGGGGGGCGAGACAGGTCCTCGGATAGTAACCCCTACGGGTAGTACCCAATTCGTTATCTCAAAGTTTTTGTTATGAAAAGGTGTGGCGAACAAGGCGTCTTCGTATTGAAAGACGAGTATCAAGACCACACACACTACAGTGAGTATCCTGACACTCGGATAGGAAGAGGTCTAAACCCAATCCACTTTCTTTAATTCATCATAAAGAGAGCTTCATTCTCTTATTAAAGTGTTTTTGGTTTTGAATGGTAAGTGCTTTGCGACAGAGAACCCTACGGTAAACGTCAGCACTCGGGATAGGAGAAGGCCTACGCCTAACCACTCCACGACCATTCAAGTTTTTGTTGGGAAAAGAGTTTGAAAATGCACTCGGTACGGGACCGAGGGTTTTAGGTGACAAGGGTTGCGGGATGAAATTGTGAAAGCGAGATGGTGGATGGAGGCGTGTCTTCGTATTGAAAAACGAATATCGAGACCACCCTCACTACAGTGGGCATCCCAACATTCGGAGAGGAAGAGGTCTACACCCAATCCTCTCTCTTTAATTCAATACAAAGAGAAATGATTCCTTATTGAAGGGGTTTGAAAATGCGCTCGGTACGGGACCGAGGTTTTAGAAGGGAAGGTTTGAAAAGTTACTCGGTGCGGGACCGAGGTTTTTAGGAGGAGAGAGAATGTCGTCTTCGTATTGAAAGATGAGTATTGAGACCACCCACACTACAGTGAGCATCTCGACACTCGGAGAAGAAGAGGTCTACACCCAATCCTCTCTTTTTAATTCAATACGAATAATTATTTTAAGGAGATGAGATTTGAAAATGGCCTCGGCACGAGACCGAGGTTTTGAAAATGTACTCGACACGGAGCCGAGGTTTTTTAGGAGAGAAAAGTTTAGAAGCGTCTTCGTATCGAAAGACGAGTGTCGAAACCACCCTCACTACAGTGGGCATCCCAACACTCGAAGAAGAAGGGGTCTACACCCAATCCTCTATTTTTAATCCAATACAAAGAAAATATGATTTGAAAATATTTTCGAAGTTACACTCGGTACGAGACCGAGGTTTTAGGAGGATAAGCGTTGAAAGCGAAATGGTCTCAGATCCAACGTTATTTATCAACAGTTTGACTTAAAAACGATTTACGGAGGTCTCGTCATCGACCCAAACAGAAAATGGGACAAAATGCCCAATAATAAACGCGAAATAAAATGCTATAAACTTCTAAATGTAAATTGAAATAAAATTCTAAAAAAAACTATAACATAAAATATGATATAACAACTTTAATATAAACTAGAAAGTAATATAAAGTTCTAACAACATATATAATATTAAAATATATATATAAAATAAACAAAACAGTTTTTTTTTTTAGAAAAAGATAATTTACAAAATAAATATACAAGATAATAATAATAATAATAATATATAATGAAAATAAAAATGAAAAGAAAGGGGAGATTATGTGGATACGGACCAAACAGGCCTGAAGCCTATCTCTCCAAGGGAAATATGGTCATAAGGTATTTTCTTCGAAGCACACAAAGGAAACTTATCCGTTTAATTCCAGGAGAAACATCATCAAGCGTAACCACACAACTGCTGAATAAAACGAAGCATTTCATACCTTACAGACAAAAAGAAGCCGTCGATCAACAATAATCAACATGGTGAATCATCTCCGCCATCGTGTAAACTCGTCACACTCTTGCTCAATCGTGTCTCGCCCAGGTTTAAGCCACGCCGTTCTCAATTTGGATTCATTTTTGATTTCGTCTTTTTGTGTTTCGAACTCTCTCCTTCATCTCTTCTCACTCTGTTGTGTAGAGATGTTTGAGTGGATTGGAGGTTGGTGGTTGATTGTCGAGTTATGGGATTCTTTCTACGGTATCTGAAGTGAGAAGTTGAGAAGTAACACCGAACCCAACGACAGGAGTTCTCGCGAGAAGAAAATGGAGTTGAGAAGTTACGAGGAAAGATGCTGTTATGGATTCAAAATGAAGTTGGTGTGAAGGAGATGAAGAAGAATATGAATGGAAGGGATGGTGTTCTAGGTTGTGAATTTGGGCGGTTGTTTATGGTGTTTACAATCTCGCCTACCACATGTTTGATGGAAGTACAGTTATGGCTTGGATGGTTGTTGAAAGGTTCTCAACATCGATGCGAACAACTCGCTGTGATGAACATACTGACGGTAATGTCAATAGAGCTTCCATGGCATGACATTTGAGGTAAAACTCTTACCCTGTTTTTCTGAGTTCTGTAGTGATATTCATTTCTTTCTCTTCTTCTGTCTGATACTCTGTTATTTGCAGTGGGGGTTAAGTTAGAAGAATGAAAGTGGTTGGTTTTTTATGAGGTAAATGATGAAAGAGGCTAAGAAGGATGATGATGAAGCAGAAAGTGTTGATGGAAAGGGATTCGGAAGTTTCGCGAGGTGATGCGTTCATTCATTTTGGAGGTTGAATCTGGGCTTTGGAGATTTGGATTTTGAAGAGTGGATTTCTGAGTGAGGCGAGGTTTTTTCTGGATTTTGCTGAAGAACGATGCTCGAGAATATTGTTTAGCAGAGAAAAGTGTGTTTGTATGTGGTAAGTATGAAATGGAAAAATGAATTTTTCAGTTATTTTCTCCTCTTGTGGAAGCAGTGTGAGATTGTGCAGATATCTCTTGAGAACAATGACTTGTGATGGTTATGTTGTAGTTGTATCCTGTTGTTTGGAGTGTTGGAAACAGATTGGGTTTGTGTTGAAGTGTTGATGGTTGGAGGAGGATTAGGGTTTCATTTGGAGGCTGCTGGGTTTTGTGACTAGGGTTTGGAGGCTCCCCCCTCCATCTCTGCTGTCACTTCTCACACAATTATATATGGAGAGAGTATGCAGAGGCTTGAGGTGAGGTAGTACAGTTTCTTTTGTCTGTAGTGAGGTAATATCTTCAATTACTTTTCACTGCGGTAACTCCCTCTTTTCTTTACTTTTACTGTGGCAAATGGCCTTCAATTTGATCTGTAATTATATAAAGTATGACTATTTCCTTTATGCTGATGGCCTTGTTTTCAAATATTTTTCAGGATTGTCGTTATGTTTTAGATGCAGTATTTGTGGGCGTGAAACATTTCCAACCGCGGCAACATAACCACGATCCTCCAGAAATTAGCTTTGCTACCATGTTATTCAAAAAGGTACTTTCGAATAACACTTAACAGCTCCTGGTTTCGCTTAAAGGATCATAGTCGAATGTTTCACCAGCTTTAACAAACCGGCCCTTCACACGTTTTCTGACATCGGCTCTAGCCTTCCGAGAAGCATACCTTACTTTCTTATCAAACTTCCGATTCTTTTTCTTTTCCTTATAGCGCATGACAGCATTGCTGCGGTTAACAGATTGAATAGAATTTTCAGGGCAAGGAGGACACCAGGGAGGCTCCCCCGTGAGAAGCATTGAAGAAACACCGCCGCACTCTTGATTGTCACTAGCACTAGCACTGTTGATAACGCCGGAAAATGAAACGTTTGATTGGGATTGCATTTCCGTAAAGTAAAGTATTGGTTCAGTTTTAGTACTTAACATTGAGTCTGAAGAAGCTGCAATAGCGCCCCGGCGATTGGAATCACCAGCACTAGCAGACATATCTTTTCTCTCAAATAAGCTATCAATACTGCCCTTTTCGGAAAAACTCTTCGGAGTTATTGAGAGCATAAGAAAAAACTTCCTTATAGTTCTCAAGTTCAAGATCCATATCATCTATGTTGAAACCGTCGTACAAATTATCATCTTCACAAAGTGCAGATGCCATACTACCAAGACATTGTAACTTGGGCATACATTCATCGGAAGGTTGAGGTGGCTGGTCAAGAATACGAGGTTCTGCATGTGACTCGGTTACTGAAGATTTGCCGGCTGCAGACTTATCCTTGCTGGGTAGATCGGCGACTTGAGCTGAGCCAGACACGTTCTTGCTCTCTGGAGAAACCCGAGCTTTATTATCGCAGTTCTCATTAATGCTCATCAAACCGAGTTTCTGCTCACATGCTTCGCCCGTAGAAGGGATGTCCGAGAAAAAGGGCCATATAGAAGAAAGCTCGGAAGCCGAAGGACAGCCAGAGTAGCAATTGATTGATTGTCGTTTGTGTGTTGAAGAAGATGGATCAGTACCATGAGCCGACCAATCACAATTCTGACAAAATGAAACTTTCTCTTCAACACACCTCACATATGCAGGTTGTAAATTACACTTCTCGCATACGAGTGTTCTTGAATGACGCTTAGAAAGTGCATTAGCGGAATGAACATTTCGATCACACGACAAACATAAGGAAGCAGCGTCGGAGCGGCAGTACACCAAGGATCTCTGGTCTCCACAAAAATTACATAAAGAACCCATCTTTAGACCATTCTTCCTTTGCTCCTTAATCCAAGTTCCAAAATTAGTATCGACCAACGCCGAAAAAAGTTACACTTCAAAGCTTCAACTAGAATCAATTCTACTTTTTTCTGTGTTCTTGTGTTGTTTATTATTTGGAAATTATGACTTATAAATGAGAGTTCTTGATGCAGGTCATAAAATTTGTGGCATGCTGTCGGTAGAGGTGAAATTTGGATGCGCAGGGAATAACGTAACACGCAACTGACCGAGCCACAACTTCGAACAATATCCTCTACCAACTCAAGCCGGTGAAGCCTATTTCTGTCTTGTCATTCTCCATATCAATTCTTCTCTCCATTCAACCTTCTCCTTTCATCTCTTTTCATCAAATTTTATCTATTTTCCGTATTGTTTCCAATTGAATTCGAGTTACAATTTTTGTTGTTGCCCGTGCAGGTGAATCACGAGCTGACGCAGGAGCCAATTTGGTGCTGGTTAGCGGTATGCTGAAGGCGTGGCCTGCATTTGAAGGTGACTTCCGTGATTTTTGAGTTATGGTTGTGATGGTTGGTTTTTGCTACTGTTGATGCTTTACAAGGGGTTATAAATGATTTTTCCATGTCATCCATCTGTACATCTGAATCAACAGAATTTTGTAGTTCCAACGTTGCGCCATTTGTCTCGGTCTCTATCACTTCAGAAAGAAAAGCATCAGTAGTTCCACTGTGTATATTTTTCTCAAAAATATTGCCACATCTCACAATGTGATGTTTTGTTATATCATTCTGTGATGAGCTTTGGTCTTGATTGGGACAAACATCAAGCCTGTGTGTTGACCGATTTACATTTTCGGCAACGGACGCAAAGTTTACCTTATTAGTTGAGAAGAGCGAGAAAGAATCATTTGCAGGTATGAAATCCTGGACTTGATAACCTTGAGACGGAAGGCTATCTAGTACTGAAACAAAGTCAATGGCTTTTGCAGTCTTGGGTGCTTTAGACGAGATTGAACGAGAATTTTCCATGTCATCCAACAGGATATCACCTTCGCCACTGGAGAGAGGATCCCACTTTAGTAACTCTTGATGTCGAGATTCCTTAGAATGAGATGCTAAGTCGGATGATAAAACTTCTACTCGTATTGCCTCTTTGTGAAATCGCTTTCTCCTTAGAGCATTGGCTAAGAGAACCAGTTGTTAGATATAGATGCTTTAGCTTCCTGCTTGGAGAGTCCAAATAGTAACAACAAGTTTGCAACATCACAGGGCCCTCTAAGTTCATTCACTGAAGGAGCAGCACTTGAAAATATAATGTCTCGTCCCCGAGTCCAGTCAATCAACAGCTTGGCACCCGAAATCAACTGTCTCCTTAACTGTACATCGGTGATAAGACCAGAGTATGTATTACCCTGCTGCAACCAATTATGGGTATTATGGTACAGGATTTGAACCGCCCGGGGAATGGGAGGACCAGCAGAGGATTTTTGGTATAGAGGGTCCAGGTGCAGTGATAGGAGTTGATGACTCATTTGGTGGAGAACAATTCTTCATATCTCTTGTAATGAACATGAATTTCCATGAATATAATCCTCCATTAAATTGACTCGAAATACGCTCTTATACTTTTTGAGTTTTCGTTTTGCTTGCATAGTTGTTCTTGTAATAACATGAGCTTCCTTTTTTTATTCTTGTCACAATAAGGCAATGCCACTCCTGAACTTCTAAAAGTAAATGAAAGTATTAGAAGTAACATAACACCTAAACTTGAAAAGTGGAATTGAAGTGAGACAACATTAAATCTCAAATTCCTCTATCCTCGAATTCTCATTAAGAACAAAACTCGGAATGAATTTAAAGCTTGTATCAAAAGTGATTCAAATCTTGAAATCGATATTGAAGAGCAATTGAGTCGTCTAAAATTCTCGCTGAACTAATTGTCACTTGGATTTACAATGAGCCACAATCTTTGGTTGCAAACAAACCAATCCTTAATGATCTCCAATCATGAAGCATTCTAAACTTAGTACCACCGGACCTTGAACAACAAACAGCATATTTTGAATTTCTGGATAATTATCAACGGATGAACGTACAAATGAAAATTATATACAGGTAGGACAAATTTGGGGCATGCTTATGCAATGTGATATGCTAATGCAATGAAATGAAACATAAACCAAATGGAGAAAAGGTAGGGCAAATTTTGGGATACAACACACTCTCATGGGCTTTTTGTGTAAATTGACTTGTATGAGATCATGGGACTTTTCGGAACTTCATGATCCAATGCATTCCCCTTTTTTTAGAATCCTTTTCTAATGAATGGACTTTGTATTCTTGGATCAAGTTTAGGCTTTGAATTATTTTTCAATTTTGGACTTGTCCGAAAACGTGATGGCACATAATAGCAGGCACTTGAATTTCCATGTGGATTGAGCCCAACAATCATACTATTCCAATATCTCTAATCATGAGCTAAAACAATCCCAAATGTAACCTATCACGATCCCAAAGTATAGTAAATAATCTTGATATGATCATTCACAATAGATTTTAAATAATGAAGGTTAACAACCTCGACTAACCAACATTCGTGAATAGAAAGACTTCATCAATCAAAGATAAAATCGAAAGAACAAAGAAAAGGTTTGAAAATAAATCATAGAATTGATAATGAAAAGGTTAAAAATAAATTAGATCGAAAACAAGTGAATTCAAAAGAAGTTAACCCTAAAAAAAGTTCAATATAAAAATAAATAACAAGAAGAAGATACAAAATAAATAAAATAAAATAAAAAAAGAAAGGTTCAAAATCTTGTAATGGGGTGCAAACCAAAGGGGTGAATCATATGGACCAAAAGAAGTCCACCATCTCATAATATAGAAAAAACGAAAATGGGCCTTCAAGCAAACTTCATTAGCCACCCATTAATTAAAAGAACATGGTTAACCCAAACATAAAAGGTAGTGTGCAGTAGGAGACACACGAGCCTAAATCCCAAAACCAACAAGTCCGGTGGAAATGAAGATAACATATCACTCCATTCCTAATTTCACTCCTAATTTCCATTCCAAACACTAATCCACATTCCAAACCACATTTGTGTTCCTAACCTAGAGCTTATTTCAGTGGATTTGCTCCAAACCACACTCATTCACACCAATTCACTCTCATTCTTCATCTCAATATCAGAATTTGCTCTAAAATTCTCTCAACTTTCTCTCAACTTTTTCACTCTCAAAACCTCGATTAAAGGTCTTTCCACTTGAGTTCATTGATTCTACATCGGAGTCCTTGAATTCTAGAGCTAAACCTCCTTCATTCATCTCCATTATCTTCAATTCATCACTCAACTTTCGTTTGGATTTGGATCTGATTTTAGAAGCAAGATTTTAAGTGCTTTTTGGATCAATTTTGGCTTGATCTTGCTTGTTCTTCACTTGTACTATAAGGAAGCTCTTGGATCTTGAAGATTCTCTGGGTTTCTAGCTTGGATCTGTTAGTTTCAAGTAAATCAACACTTACCAAAGCAAATCTTAGCTTTGAAGATTGGTGAATTCTAGATCCAATTCTGTTTTGAGCTTATTTGCATAATCACAAAGTAGATCCATGGCTTTTGATGCATTTTGATCCAATTTGATGATTTTGATCTTTGTGATTGGTGATCTTAATGTTTGATTGTGTTTACATGATATTTGATCACTGATTCTTGATGATAAGTTCATGCTTAATTGATCACATGTTCATGTGAGTGATTGGATAAGTTGTTTGGTGTTGAAAACTAATTTTAGAAGTTGCTTTTCTGTTTCTGTCTCAGTGGTAACCGGTTACCATTAGCAGGTAACCGATTACCCTACAAAAATTTCACGTTTCTGAACATTTTTTCAACAGGTAACCAGTGATTTTGGTAACCGATTACCACTGAGGCAAAATGGGGGTTTCTTGCATTTTCTTGCTTGTTTGAGTTTGCTTTCACATATGGACTTCATGGATTGATGTAGTGCATTTATGTGGATTTTTTTGACATGTTTCATCATTCTCGAATTTTTGATCTCGATTCTTCGACACGTAACTTCTAGTTTCCGTTTGAATGCTTAATATGTTCATGTTGCTTGATTGATGAATGATCACATGCCTTTCTTGCTTAGATTATGTTATTTGATTATCATGAATATTTGCTTTGCTGGATATGTGATGTATGTGTGTGTTTGATTTCGATTCTATTTGTTGCATGTCCGTTTGATCGTTCGATCATTTAATTTGAATTGAAAAACATGATGATCTTGTTAATTCTTAATGATGCAATGTTGTTGATCAATTATGTTTGATTATTGAAGCATGTTCATACTTTCATGATATCTATCCATGATTGATGTTTGCTTATGTTTGATTGCATTAAATCATGCTTGCTTGCTTACTGTCCCGCTTTTCACAGCTGTTCTTATTTTAAATTTGCATGTTGTGCTTGCCTTGCTTGTTGGCTGCCTGTTTTTTACACTTGCTCTTGTGCTTAAATATGTGTTGTTATAGGTTGTCTTGCTTGTGTGCTGGATTTTACTGCTGTCTTGTGTAGGAAGCGCTGTTGTAGCTGTTGTTTTTGCCTTACTTTCTTGCTTTTTGCTTTTCCTTTGCATGTTCCCTTAGGATTCTTATTCTAATTTAATTTTCGATTAAATTTAGAGTCGAATAGAGATTAGGATGGCAATCCGTGCATGATAACATTAGGTTAGTCCATTTTAGCCTCAACCTTAGGTCCATCTTTTGCATGCTAACATTAGGATATAATCTCCTTTCGCATCTCGACCTTAGGACCACTTTGCATGACAATGTTAGGGTCGAGTTTCCCATAAACCTTTCGTGCATCTCTCTTGTCATCTCAAAACACCTTCTAACTCATCTAATAAAGACGATCAACATTGTGCGCCACGAGCCTTAAGTATATGGGAAATAATGAGTGAGGGGTTTCTCCTCACTTGTCTAGAGTGTTTAGTGTATGCCCTTTGAGCGATATGCGACAC